TACCAAAAGTGCTTGACCCTGGAGCAATGGGCTCTTGACTAAAGTTAGTGCTTGGGGAAGAACTTTGTTGCGAACCGCCAAACTAATATTTTCACTACAACTCTTTCCAGTCATCAGAGTGCAGCAGAGTTCGAGTGCAAGAGCAGTCATGTGCAGGTCCGAAACACTGAAAAAGACAGACAAAAGTCATCCTCTTGACTAAACCACCAACTAAGAAAGAAAGAAAACAACATCAGAGAAAATTCACTGGACAAGCAAACAAACCTTATCAGCGATGAAAGCTCAACAAGAATAACTTCATAAGCATCTGAACCAATTTTGTCACCATAGGCTGTTACCAGGGTATTCATAGTAATCAGTGTTGCTTGCCTTAGAACCCGATTAGCCTGGACAAAACATTAACACAAAGAGTCAATATTGTATTCCGGAAAAAAATTCACTGATTATTAGACAGTAAACAGAAGAAATAACATATTTGATGCCTATTAAGATATCAAGGTACAAAGCAATATACCTTCCGTAAGAATCCAGTCAGTTCAGCAATCAAATGGTCCAAGACACATGATAGATCAATGTGCAGCGGAGAAGTAGCAATGACAGCAAATGCCTGCATCCACCCACAAAATCACAGACATGAGCTAAACAAGTTTGAATATAAAAGCTTCAACAACAGAAGCACAAGAACAACCTTTACTGCTGTGAGGCGAGTTATTTCATTTCCCATTCGGTCAACAAGCACAGGAAGGCATGAAGGCAACTCTGCTCTCAGTTGATCGCCAAATGTTGAAATCACAAGACCCATGCAGGTAATAGCACACTCCTTAACCTCCTGTTAAGCAAAGAGAGATTAAGAAACTTCCATAGTAAAAATGCACACAGCAATCTGCTTGCATTTTCCAATTCTATAATTAATCATAATGACAATTTACAAGTTTATAAAGAAAATCATTATGATCTCTTTGCCGCAAAAATGGATTTTAAAGAAAAAATTGGGGATCCATGTGACAAACCTGGTCCTGATCTTGATTTGTCAAGCGCGACATTATCGCATTGTAGATTGGTTTAACAAATGGCTTAAAATCAAAGCCCATTCCCTAAACCACACAATAAACAAATATTAATGAATGCAAAAATCTGTGGGTCGTCTATCGATAATATATGATTCAAACTTCTCAATAAAAAAGAACCCTGACACTGAATCAAACAGACAGAATAAGTGTGTACATGAAGTCTCAATGTAACTCACCTCAGTACTTGGACGTACTACTCTGACAAGTTCCCCACAAACCCTTAATGCCTCAGCAGTCACCTTGTAATAACGTTCACCAACAGCAGCTAAAACAGGACTAGAAAGAGCCTAGATTGACATAAAAGTTCAAGAGTCAGTCAAATCAATTTTCATCAGCTGTTAATGTTCATTTACTTTTCAAAACTGGGTTATGAAGTATATGGACTCAGCACTAGTCGTTGAACATTTGGTCAACATTTTAATGGACTAAAACCATAGAATGTTTCTTACCTTAATGTAAGGATGAAAAACAGGAGGCGCGTGCGATGCCAAGACCAATTTTGTGAAGACAAGAGCTTCAATTTTCAAGTTTGAAGTAGAAGATTTATCCTGGAGAGGGAAAAAAAAGAGGAAACATGAGCAAATGAACAAAGAACAACAGTACATATATAAGTGTACTGAAAATCCCACTAACATTTAACGCCCTCTCAATTCCAGGTACAAGTGAGCCAATATGATCAGCAAGGCAGTCAGGCAGGACAACCACAAGTTCTCTCAAAACAGAGAATGCACCAACCTGCAGATAAGTAAGAAGTTAAGAAAATATCAAATAGGAACCAAACCAAAAAGAAAGTTAACACTTTCGTACCTTTGTCTTAACAGACTTTTCACGCAGTTGCCTGTTTATGGATTTCACAATCTTTGAGACTTCTTGCTTCAGTAGCCATTTTGGACTGCATCAATCAAACGAATATATTTAGTTAGCAGGGATTCATCAGTAATGTGACAGAATACATA